AGGTCCCTTCCACCCCAAACCATCCTGTGATCCTACGATCTCTTGAGATTCTAGGAGAAACAACCTGAAACCTCCTCCAGCATCTAGGGATGGAGGTCCCCTGATCCAAGGATGGAGGCAAAACCCTACAGCACGTTGTCCATTTGAGATGGCTCCAAAGTCTCTCTTTCACTGCTGCTCCCGACCAGGAAGAGGGAAGGGTCTGGGCAGAGACCCAGCGGGCGAGAACGTGGAGCTCGGACCAGGCGGAGCCGCCGCCTTCTCCAGCCAGAGCCCCCAGGCCCCGCGCGGCAGCCTCCTCGGCTCAGGGCCGCAGGGGTCCCGCTCCGACCCCGATCCCTGTGGCAGGTCCAAAATGCGGCACCGGACACACGGACGTTTCCTTCAGGGAGCAAAACCCCTTTTGTTTTTCGTGGGTTTGGGGGTTTTTTGGGGGGTTGAAATCCCACCAACCGCTGCTACGGTCACGATGGTTTCCAGCAGCACGTGGTGGCCTGACCCTGAAGGAGGAAACTTCTGTGCTTTTGACACAAACATGAGGATATTTATATATATACACACACACAGAATGAGCTTTTTTTTGTTGGTTTTTTTTTTCTCCTTTTTTTTTTTTTTTGTTTTTTAAAGAGCTGACCAGCAGAAAAATGTGAAACCATTTCCCTGCAGGTTCGGAAAAGCTTGTGCTTGTGGGGTTTGGTTTGGTTTGTGGTTTTTTTTTTTTTTCAGATGAGATCCAGGATACCGATTTCTTCTTGTTTGTTTTTGTTTTTGTTTTTTTTTAAAAAGGCTTTACTCCCTCAAGAAAAAAAAAAAAAAAAAGATTTACAAACAAAATAACAGCCTGTATCAACTCTCCAGAAGAGAGATGGTATGACAATATTAATCCAAACATCACGCTATTTAATTCCCCAATAAAACATTGGAAAAAAAGGAGCCAACAGTATCTGCACTAACACTTTGCTACATATAAAATCTCCAGCTAATATGAAGCTTATGGTACCAACCTCTAAAACAGTTAAGATATATACACATATTTTTTGGGGGGGTATATTAACAAACAGAATATTACAAAATATTAAAGAAGGCAACTCTTCTGTCATTTGTTTCGGGGTGTGGAGTTTTGTTTGCTCGTCACTTGAAGTTGGCGTAGTCTGAGAAGGCGTCGATGTATTCCTGCACCACCTTGTAGCAGAATTCGTACTGTTCCTGCGGGATTTGGGGGAGAGCACAGCGTCAGACCACGAAAATCCACACCGGAGGCATAACGGGATGCTTCATGGTTTGGGGCAAGCTGGCACCAAGCATGGTCAGGTGGCCCCAGCCCACACCGAGGGCGGGAACTGGATTCCCACCTCTGAGCAGGTCCCACCTACTTCGTGGCCCCTCCAAAAACCAGGCTGCCCACCCTCCTTGCTGGGGGTGCCATCAGCAAAAGGAACTCTGCTTTCTCCTTCCTCTCTGAGGTCCTACTTCGACACCAAAAGACTTTTTTTTTTTAAATCCTTGAGCATCCTTGCCACCCCTCTTGCAAGACCTCATCTAGTCCTGCCTGCTCCTCTCCTCCCTGCCACGCTGCACGCCCAAGCCCGGGCCACAGCCGCTCCAGGAGAGGTTTCCAGGCTCCTGGAGCCCATAAATACGTAGGCTGTGGCTGAGGAGGTCTCCAAGGAGGCTCCTACACCTTGTGGCAGTGCCCAAAAGGGGCTTGATGCCTTCAGCCAGCCAAGCTCCGCTCTTC